TGACCCACACCCTAAAGCCACAAAGCCCAAACCCTTCATGCTACATCCGGGCCCCAAACTTTCCTTCATCATCCTGCTCCTTTCCTTTCTGGGCTTCAACAACTTCAGCAGAGACGACCAGCGATCAACCCAAAGCCCGAAGAGAGGCCTCTTCAAACAAAAGCTCCGATCGGTTGTCGATCTCCTGTCGCTGGCTTCGAGTGCCCTAGTATTTGAGGCTCCCTCCACCCTAAACCCTAAACCCTAAACCCTAAACCCCTAACTCCTGAATCTCCAAAACCCCTACACCCCTGGATCTCCCCCCGCGGGCTCTCCTAGCAGGGCTTGCTAAACTTATACACCCCAAAGCCTGACCGCAAAAATCCGGAAAACAGAAAACCCAAACCTGAAGCCTAAACCCCAAGCCTTCAATGCTAACGCCATAGATATAGTGGAGATATTACTCTAAACCCTAAATGGGGTTTGGGGTTTATGGTAATGGGTAATCCTAAACCCCAAACCCTAAGTACGTGAGGCCCAGGTGGTTGGGGCTTGGGCCCCAAAGTACAAGGGTTTAGGGTGTAGGGACGATTTGCAGGCTTTCATATGTAGAATTCCGAGCCCGGGTTTTGAGCAACATGGGGAGCCTTGGCAGTTGGAGTAAGGTGGTTTTTGGGGTGGGTTCATTCTGGTATGATCGTCACATGGGATCCCTGAAGGATGGTGTCGGTGTTACCATAGTTGTTCAGGCTTCTAGGAACCCAGAGAGCCCAATACCCCTTAATTAAGGAATATGGCTTAAATTATGTAGGGCTTCATCTTATGACTTAAGCTATATTCCTTAATTAAATGAGACTTTCCGAAAATTAGGGGTACCCTATTTGGGGGTCCTTATAATAAAAGTCCTACTATTTAGGGTACTATATTAGGGTCCCCTATTTTCGGAAGCTCCCAAATTTCGGGCTTGGTCCTCGTCCACACCTCCGCGGAGCAACTGATGGACCTGGCGCGTTCGGTTGCAAAGCTTGCAATTTGCAGGATTTAAGCTTTCGAGCGTCAGGAGTTCAATCATTTGAATAAGTTGGGCCCTAGAGTTTGACGATTTTCAGGGTTTCGAATTTAGCCGCAGCAAAACAGTAGCAACAATGATGTTAGCCCGAAGCAACATCAAATAAAATCGGCGGCTCAAACTTGTGGTTTCTTGGGGAGCTGTATCTAAACGGAAAATCAAAAGACTGGAAATACCCTAATACCTAACCTCAAAACTGAAACAGTGTTCTAGAGTACTTCTTTAGGCTGCAGTACCACGACAGTCTATTGGCTCTTGCACGACTGTGCGAGATTCCATAGACCTAAAGTAGTATTGGACATCTTATGCAACCCAAAAAAGGGTAAAACGGGCCCACTGGGAGACCTGGCTATTGTCGTCGTCTTAGGGGTACGGTTGATAGTATAAATCCTGCAACACCCATAATAAGGAATATACCGTAATTCCCACGGCCTAGGGTCCTTAAGGTAATGCAGGATTTATATATCACCAACTGTAGGTCTTCGGGCCAGGGGTCCGGGGGCTGGAGTTGAGACTTCAAGGTCCGGGGTGCATTGGTCTAGGGCTTAGGGTTTTGGCTTCTGTGTATCTATAAGGGTTCCTCTAGGGGCCCCTTTAAAGAGATCTATAGTGAGTGATTAAGGGTATAGGGTTTAAGCCCTACTTGGAGCTTCATGGGTAGTTGTAAGTGGGGTGATAAGTAAGGTAACTATAATTACAACTCCTATTAGGCGACTTATGACCCCACTTATAGCTGCCCATGACCCTCCAAGCAGGGTTTAGGGTTCTGGCTTCGCTGCAGCCTTAAACTTACGGGGTTCGATACTATAGGGGCCTTATTGATTAGAATAGGGTTTTGGGTCCTATTCTGCTATAATTACAGTAAGGAAGCGCCAAAATAGTATAGGTATTTATTGAGGCCCCTCTATTACAGCAGGGGAGCTCGGAGAAGGTTCACCTTTACACGTCGACGAGGAAGGTCACGACTTAATGGGTGGTTGTCAAAATTAGGTTCCCTTTTGGGGTCCCTAAGTTTATACGGCACCTAATATTTAGGGCTCCCCAAAAGGGGTCATAATTTTGACAACCACCCAAATCGTAAGTCCTTGAAGCAAAATCTGCAAGTTGCTGGTGCTACCAATGGCCGTACCGATCTCAATGACACTGGCACCGATCAGCAGCAAAATGGCAACTTAATGACTATAACGATTACCACAATCAGAAATACGATCAGAACAACACTGTCACGATCCACTTTCGTTGCTACTACTGAAGCAACAGGCAGCAGTGACAGCGGGGCACAACATGCCAGGCCGACGTAAGTAGCATTGAAAACAATTTGTGGTGCAACGTACCTGGCAGCCAAAACACGATCGTCAACTTGATGAAGGCAAGGAGTAATGCAGGGGCCTGAATTTGAATAGGGTTCCTTGGGTATACTACACTACGACCATCGGCTGCAAATGTATCGGGACTCTAAGGGAATAAGGCATACAGCAGGGTCGGTTTCCCTGTTTCAAGGTGCGCCACAAGAAATGCAGCGCCGGGATCACTTCTCGACCACGTAAGGGGTTTCACTGCCTCGGCCAAGCTGCGCATCGCACAGGTACCTACTTGCCCCGTATCTTGGGGGAACTGAAGGTTAAGCCTTGGGATCATATAGGGAATATAGTAAGCCCACGCTGAAAGACTACCTATTCTACTACGAAGGGTAAGACAGCGGTCCGTGTGAAAGCGAACCTTCAGCGAGCAACCTGCAGGGCTTCGACCATCAAGGTTGCTCTAGAAATTCGCCTTCCACTGTCCCACGGTGCCTCAACCTGCAAAAGCGAAGAAAATTGTGGCCCAGTGTCTATAAAAAGCTATTCTTCTACACAGTTTCAGGGTCCAGGTAGTGACTCTACACCCAACTACCCAGACGCCTGGAGGATCTAGAAAGTAGATCCCCTAATTTTATACTACTAAGGGTACTTTATAGGAACCCCCATTAAGGGATCTACTTTTTGGATCCTTCCGGGGGTCTGGGTAGCAGGCAGCGGATCGACCTCCACGCGCTGTTTCCTTCTGTCGCAGCCACACGTCTGCGCATGGCACGCCAGCACTGGTGGCCGGGAATGTCCGGCTTGGGGGCTAAACCATCCTGATCACTAAAGTTCCTAAACCCTGATCCCTAAACCCGCAACCCCAAACTTCAACCCTAGACCACCATAAAACGACAGAGCTGAAGAACCCTTGTGGATCCCTTTACAGGAACCCCTAAAGCTCTAAAACCGCGCTCAGAAGGTTCCGCAACCCCCGGGCAGGCGGAAGCGGCGCTCCGCTGTGGCGGCGCTGGCCAAACCCAGATCCTCACCGGGAGCTGGATGGAAGGGGCCTTTATAAACCAGAATATAGGGTTCCCTTTAAAGGGATCCTTAAAGGGATCCATAGTAGGGTTTTATGATAAGGGGGCCCTGCCGTTCAGGGTGTAGGCCTGTTTTTCTGAGTGGAGATTACACTGCATTTTGCAATGCTGAACTTTTTCTATAATGGACAAAGACAAACTATCAGATTTTTCTCTATTGGCCTACATTATTATTACAGTGGTTTTGGGCTCCTTTTCCATGAGGCCAGTTACAGGCTCCATGTACCCGTATAGTAGATACTTAAGCCTTAAAGGGGTCCCTTTATAGGTATTTTATACTTTAATAAGAGTACATTTGGCCCTTAGGGAGAATCTAAACCAGCTCTCCGAGGCCTGGGTCCCGGAGTTGGTGGAGGAGAGTCAGAGATTTTTGGGTTTAGGGTTTAGGCTTGGGCGCTTCGGGTTTGGGGTTTAGGGTTTTGGGTTCCTGCGTTCAGGTGCTTTTGGGTCTTTTGTAGGCTTCAGGGTGAGGGTTTAGGGTTTTAGGTTTAGGGTGTAGGGTTTCAGGGTTCGGGGTTTAGGGTTCAGGATTTAGAGTTTAGGCTCGGGTTTTGTAGGCGGATGACGATGATCATAATGGTGGTGGCGATGTCCAGTGAACTGTTCTGCGATTCTGCAGTATTGTTTCTGTCAGAAGTACGATGCAAAGAAATCCAATTAATCCTTCTACCTTTGCTATTCTGTCTGTCAACCATCGTACTAGTCGTAATTTTCGTCGTCGAAGTCATAGGACGCGGAGGCGAAAAGATAAAACAGCAGACATAGCGCGTTGCTTATGTCCAGCTTCGTGAACCGGCAGACAAGCACCAAGCATCCCGGCGGCTACACGCATGCAGATGAGCACAGCTGGCAGTCGCGCGACAAGACTCCAACAACACAAATGGGTAGCTGTCAAAATTAGGGTCCCCTTTTTGGGTACCCTAAAAAATAGGTGCCGTATTGTAAGACGGTGCCCAAAAAGGGACCTCAATTTTGACAGCCACCCATATGCTGCTGCCCGGTTTCAGGGTTACGAACAACAGCAACGCTACCCCGGCGGGGGGAAGTAGCAATAGCGCAACACTGCACATGACTCTTTTCCGGTCAAGGACTGACATCTCAAACAGCCCCCTTCCAGTCTCAATCAGAACTGGGCGAGGACACAAAGACCGTTCGGGCATCTTGGAAGCCCGTTCTCCGGATGCATCCAAAGGGTGCAGGGTTTATGGCTGGAGTTTTCGGGTTTGATGCAGTTGATCGGGCTTTTGCTGCTGCTGCTGCTCCTACAAGGGCCGTTGTCTGACAGTTGTGAACGGTTGTCGAATTAGGATCCATACATAGGGAGCCCTCAAGGCACTTTAGAGCATGAGTTTTGATAAGTGCAACACAGGCGAGCTAGTTGTGGGCAGGGTTTGGGGAGCTACTCAGATTCTGAAACCAAGCCAGGGTGTTTTATTGTGTGAAGTGAAGAGACATTCGATGGATTGGGGCGTCGTCAAGGTTCAAGGCTGGTTTAGGATAGTTCCGGATGTTGGGGGCTCGAGTCGGCATTGGATGCATCTGCTCTACCTAGGTACTTACACTTTGCAGCTACTCGTGCACATCGCTGTACCGTGCGATGGCATAGACGAGCGCGCCGATCAGGCAGCAGGCAAATCCCGCCCACGAGGAGATGCTGACCGTGTTGTGCTGCAGGATTACCCCTGCCAGGACTCCAGGGCTGAGGCCCGAACGTAGCAGAATTGAGGATTGCAGTCGGTGTTGGGATGATGTGCTAGACCAAGAATAATGAATATAAACTATATTACGCAAGACGACGGCAGAGTATTGCTATGTATTGATTGTGTTTTTCAGACGCAACACCGACTAACCAACTGGACGCCGGCACTCCTCAAGCCCAAAGCACACTATCCTCGCATAGTCCCTATGATGCCATCGTAAAATGAGATAGCCCAAGAAATCTATGCTAACTACGGATGAATACCCGCAAGACCCTGGAAAAACCTGTAACTCCTTACTAGGGTCCTTCTAAAACCTATCCCAAGTGTGAAGGCCCATTCGCCATGCGCCTGCCAGGACGATGGGAATCTGATGGAGCGTAGACAAGACGTTGAAGGCCACAGCAGATAGCAGACTCACCTACAACAGGCCAAGGAGAGCGAACACTCCCAACTACGAAAACCGTTTAGGTCCAGGTGTTTTGAAGGTAAGCTCCAAGCCTCTAACACACTTAAATCCCCCGAAAGCCACCAACTTCAACCCCCTTAAACCCCTAAGCCCTTAGAACCCTGAAACCCCAAAACCCCAGAAGCCCCCACAAAACCCAAAGCCACCAACTTGAGCTCGGCGTATAGCATGCCCGTGAGGCCGCAGGCAATGGAAACCACACGGAAGCCAAGGATGGCGGGCACGGTCACATCGGAGCTAAAGCTTTGCCTCTCCTTGGCTTTATTCAAGTTTAAAGGGTTTACGGGGGTAGGGGGTTTGGGGCTTCCTGGCTCCATAGCTTTTGAGCTTTTGAGGTTTAGGGTTTAGGGTTTGGAAAACCAATTGATGAACAGCTGAGTACACGGGCTCGGTGTGGTGGTAGTGGCAGAAGTGGCCGTGGCAGTGGTAGTGGTAGGTGGTAGTAGTCGCAGCCGATGTAGTAGCAGGAGTAGTAGGAGGACTAGCAGTACCCGCACCAGCAATGGGAGTAGGACGAGCAAATGCAGAATAGGCGGCAGCAACAGCAGCAGCAAAAACCCTTGTACTCTGTGCTGAAACTCATACGCTAAGATAGTCTCCTCTTATTGGGTCTGAAAAAATTTTCAACAGTCGTACTCGCATTCAATGTAGGCCACTGGCACCACTATCGAATCCAACCGGGCGTGGCTTCCCAACAAAATCAACAACCATAAGGGCTCTGTCCGCCCGATATCGACTGGAATCCATGTGACACAGTAGAGCCAACAGCGATGATGACAGCAGTGGCGATAGTTAAAAAACGAGATGCTCAAAGTAGCCTGATCATTCGGCCTATCGTACCTGCAATGGCCTTGTGATGATCTGATTGTGGGCGATGGACTTCAAACTGATCTCTTTTGTTAAATGTAGTGACACGGTACCCGCCTCTTCAACATCCTGCACCCTAATTATCAGAACCTCCAAGTACCATGCAATGGAGCTATTATGATCCTCAACCGAGGAGGCTACAATGGAGGGTGGTTCGGCGAGTCTAGGTTGGGGTTCAGGGTTTTGGTCTTATCAGTCTGCGGGGATGGAGTTCTTTATGTTTACATACCCACATAACACGATGCTACCCGTAGGGTAGGGGAAACAACCTGCAGGTTTAGGGTTCGGGGGGGTTGAGGTTTGTGACCCTTTTGTCAACACAGACACAAACAGACAGGCAGGCAAGCAGGCAGAATAGCGGTTCAACTGCTCCCATCCTAAACATTCCGGCCGTCTAGGACTCTAAGCCTTGGGTGTAAACATACCTACACATACACATAGGTATGTATATATGGTAACCCCCCCAAGAACTACCGACCTGGGAGGCCATCGGCCCAATCTCATCCTGACACCGAGGAAAACGTTTTGTTGGAGAGGCGCACCCTTGCGCTTGCGGCGTTTTGTCGAACGGAACTGCCCTGTGCAGAGCAGAGTTAAGGGTTTAGGGGTTTAGGGATTTGGGGGTTTAGGGTTCAGGATTTAGGACCGCGGGGGTTTAAGGCCCATAAGGGCTTTGGGGCTAAGGGTGAGAGACGACTTGGGACATATTTGCATCCAAGCAACTTTTTTTGCCTGGAGGCCTAGGTCCCAACCGAGCTGGGATACTGCTTTTTGGGATCAAGGCGGTTAAGGGTGAGGGACTTTCGCTTGGGATTTTGGTGTTCGGGCTGGGGCCATAAGGGTCACCCGGAAGAATAGGATCCTGATAATTATAAGTATGCCCTACTGTACAAGAACCCTATGAAACGTTTTAACACGATACAAAACTCGGATCTAGATTTCACAGAACTTATTTCCAAATACCCCCGGCTGTCTGAGACTCCCACACGGTGGCCTCGCAAACATCCTCCTGCTCCTCTTCGTCCTCTTCGACATCGCCCTCCTTTGGAGTTCAGGGGCTTCGCATGTGGGCTTGTGTGTGTGTGTGAGATCCCTGAACCCACAAGGTTAAGGCCTGAGCCCTAAGTCAGAAGAGTTTGGGTGCTTAAATTGTGCTCAATGTAAATGTAAGGTACACCTTCTCAGGGTTCTCGGAGGTACCGGGGATTCTGTTTGGATGGAAGATCTAGGGCTCCTCTCACTACTTTCGCGGATATATTAGAGCGAATATAGGTGCTGACAGCGAATAGAATAGAGTGTGGGTGTGCGTTATAGTATGGCTCAAACTACGGCGACGACAGCAATCGATACGCGTGAGGCTTGACGGCGGGACGACAGCGGTCCAAAAACCTTTGGCACAAAAGCTTGCGGCTTAGGGTTTTTAACTAGATGTCTTAGTAATTGGAATAAGGATTTTCTGGGCCCATTACACTATAAGTAAAAAACCAAAATTGTATTGGCAATTTTTTAGGCCCCTAAATTCGGGTTTAGCGTTCGCGGTTTAAGGTACCTCAACGTCCGAGCGACGGAGGCATCGGTCACGCCGTTTTCCACAGTAGCCACACACGCAGAGAAAGTCATGCCTGCTTTTCTTTTCGGGCTGAGGCTTTACAGCGCTTAGCATGGCTTCGATGAGATGTGAAGTTGTTGAACACCGTCAAGCAGTTTTGAAGGGCCTGGTGAACTGCGGGGATGGGCTGAAATGCACAGGCAGCTTACGGACGGTGATGGGTAGGTCCCGCGAGGTCATGTACAGTTTCTACATCCAGCATGGTAACAACGAGTCTAAACATGCTTCGAGCTGGCCATTGATGAATTCAGGAAAATGGCCCTTCTGCCAAAGCTATTCCTACGTCCAAAATCGCTCGACGTTCAGGGCGACCCGAGCTCTGGAGCCTACAAGGCAGAAGCCCCCCGGCGAAAGTCAAAGTTCGTAGGTCATAGCTCTGGAGGACCTTAGCACTACACCGTAGGTAAGTCCCATTATACTATAACTACAATAAGGAACCCCAACATAGTGTAGGTATTAAGGCCCCAATTTTAAGCATTAAACCGCAAGTAGCAGCTCGACACCCAGAAGAGGCCCTTGAGTTCAAAAGCTCGGGCAAGCTTTGGGCACCAAAGGCCAGCGTAATCATGCAAAGCCAAGCTTCAGAAGAACATGGACTCCACCATCTGAAGCTGAAGCTTATCATGACTTAGGGTTTACGGTATAAGGTCTCGGGCTATCCGCCTAAATAATTACCCATGCAATTTTTTTTGACGGGGGGGCTTCCTCATTATAGTTGTAGCAAAGTTATTTAGCCTTATTAAGCCCCCTATACTACTGTTCTCCTTTCAAAACCCAGAAAGTAAGCCAACAGCCCCGACAGCAACTCACCACTTCTGAGGAGGTGTCGGTGGCAGCCACCCTACACCTCACTCTCAAGATCCATGGGTCCTGCCCCCGTGCCATGAGCATGACGAAGAGTATGATGGTGGTGCTGATGGAGATGATGCTAGTGATGCTGATAGCATGTAATCCATTCAGACGAGGTTAGAGGTCGACAATTACAGTTCTATTTCCGTGACCTTGTCGGTCAAGTATGGTCAAGACATAGAGGACGACTACAAAATTATGGGCTGTATGACGGCGGTAGGAGTACAGTGATGGCATTATCAACGTAACTTTGCAGGCACTATAAAGGTTTACTATAGTAGAGGTACATACAGGGTTTCGAGGTTCGGGCTGTGCAGCTGGCTGATGTCCGCGGATGGCACGTCCTCAACTCTTCAGTCTACTGACCACGCCTGGCCGAAACTTAGGTTTAGGGCTTAAGGGGTTTAGGGTTCGACCGCAGGGTGGCTTTGCGTCGACTGCGGCAAATACACAGATACACAAATACACATATACACATATGTACATATGTGTATATGTGTATATGTGTATATGTGTATATGTGTATATGTTGATAGGTTGATTCTTTCTTTCTTGAAGCCTACCTCCAAGCTTGGTAACTGTCAACCCTATTACCCAATTATAATGCATGCCCAAGCTGCTGTTGGCTTCTGATGCCCCGGGGCTGTTCCTTGGGTGAGCCGCAACTTGGAAAATATCTTTTCCTTTCCGAGCCACAGCGACGTAGGCCAAGATGCGTCTTATTCGGCTGCCAGCAGCGCCGCAACACCAAAAGAGCGAGAACCGAGCACACAAGCAGCAAGCAAACGCTTGCGGGGAAACGCCAGAAGGTTTTAACACCATGGCACACTGGACGCTTACGTCGTTCGGGCATGGATGCTCTGGTCATGGATACGCTACCATGGTAGCATGGACATTACCATTGTTCCGGCATGGATGCTCTAGCCAGTGGTTGCGCTGGGAACATGGACGTCGGGCATGGAAGCTCTGGCCATGGTTACGTCACGCTATCATGGATGCTCTGGCCAATGGTTGAACTGGGAGCATGGACGTCGGGTATGGATGCTCTAGCCATGGATATGCTACCATGCTATATCGCTGCTAGCATGGACATTACCATCGTTCGGGCATGGATGCTCTGGTCAGTGGTTGCACTGTGAGCATGGACGTCGGGCATGGGTGCTCTGGCCATGGATATGCTGCCATGCTATATCGCTGCTAGCATGGACATTACCATCGTTCGGGCATGGATGCTCTGGCCAGTGGTTGCACTGGGAGCACGGACATCGGGCATGGATGCTCTGGTCATGGACACGCTACCCTGGTAGCATGGACATCACCATTGTTCCGGCATGGATGCTCGAGCCAGTGGTTGCGCTGGGAACATGGACGTCGGACATGGATGCTCTGGCCGTGGATCGATCACGCTACCATGGATGCTCTGGCCAATGCTTGCACTGGGAGCATGGACGTCGGGCATGGATGCTCTAGCCATGGATATGCTACCATGATATACCGCTGCTAGCATGGACATTACCATCGTTCGGACATGGATGCTCTGGCCAGTGTGGTTGCACTGGGAGCATGGACGTCGGGCATGGGTGCTCTGGCCATGGACATGCTGCCAGGGTAGCATGGACATTACCATCGTTCGGGCATGGATGCTTTGGCCAGTGGTTGCACTGGGAGCATAGACGTCGGGCATGGATGCTGCGGCCATGGATATGCTACCATGGTAGCATAGACTTTATCATCGTTCGGGCATGGATGCTCTGTTCATGGCCACAATACCATGGTAGCATGGAAATTACCATCGTTCAGGCATAGCGCTGGCCAGTGTTGCACTGGGAGCATGGACATTGGGCATGGACCCTCCGGCCATGGATATGCTACTATGGTACGCAGCATGGACATTACCATCGTTCGAGCATGGATGCGCCAGTGGTTGCA